TTATGGGGTTCAAAACTTGTCAAGTGTAACTTTACCAAAGGATCCCGCCGGTCAACTTTCTAACTGAATTTCCAGGAAAACTCTGCGGGGTGCTTCCTGTCTGGTCTTTGTAGCAGTGAAGCGGCCCCTATTCTTGAAACCAAGAATCGGGCTAAGTCACCCTTGAATGTTCTTGCTACATCCTATGTATAATTACTCTAAAAAGAAATATTGATTACAAATAAAGATGGTGGTGTCAGCGGTACGGCTACACCACTTTCCCAATGAAATATGTGTTGCATCCTCTTTCTGCCCTAATGTGAGATACGTTCTCTCTCCTATTGTGTCTGTTTGTGAGATATGTTCCTTTTCATGCTCTTTCCTATTGCAAAATGTGTTTCTTCCCTGATGTGAGATATGCTTTTGTCCTGCCATGTCTACATGTTAGATCTTTACTTTTCAGCCCTCTTTCCTAATATAAGATGTGTTCCATCCCCTCTCTTCCCTGGTATGAGCTATGTTCTTTCCTCTGTTTGTCGTAGTATGTGAGCTATATTTCTTTCTTAGCTCTTCGTTGATGCAAGATGTGTTTCCTCCCCAGTCTTTTCCTGTCTGTGATCCAGTTCCACTGTTGGAGCCATAGCACAAACTTATGTTCAGGAATAACTTATAGTCTTGAAGAAAGTCGTCTTCTGGGTTTTTGCGCCGTGTATTATTCGTTTTGGCCGACGTTTCGGAGGACGTATCGCCTCCATCTTCAGAGCAGGGGAATGGCTTGTGAATGCAGAGAGCAGTAGCCATTCACCTGCTCTGAAGATGGAGGCGATACGTTCCTCCGGAATGTCGGCCAAAACGAATAATACATGGTGCCAAAACCCAGAAGACGACTTTCTTCATAGTCATCGCCGTGAAAACCTCAGAACTTACAACTTATAGTCTTGTTTTCTGTCTGTTATGCAACAATATTAATTCACAAAATGTTCGTTAAATGTTTAAAATTTCATTAAAATTATTAAAATATATATACATTTGGTGTGTATCTGGTGTTCAAAGAACACAAAGCAACACTAGTTGCACACAGCTAAGTGAGCAGCACATCCAGTGGGAAATGAGAACAGACGTAATATATAAGATAGGAAGAAAATGATTATATAAAATCATCCCACAACAACTGAATTCAAAGAAGTTGATAATAATGACGACTGGCCTTAATGAATACTATTTGACCAAGTACACAGTGCAGTACTTGTAGATTCCTTTAAGAGATGTTTTGACTGAAGATGGCCTTATGTGGCTGAAACATGTAGCATAAACACCGAATTTACATATACTTTAATAATTTTAACGATATTTTAAACATATAACGAACATTTAGTGAATTAAGTGTGAATTAATGTTGTTAAATTAATATTGTTGCATTATAGACAGAAAACCAAGACTCTAAGTTATACCTCAATGCAAAAGAATGTTGAAATATAATATTATGTTCAGGAAGGCTGAGGTAGTTACAGAATGACCAGTTTCTCTAGCACATATGTCACCCATATTTATCTAGAAAAGAAAAGAAAAACAATTTTTTGAAATCTGTTTTTGTTTGGTTAGGTTGGCAATGCAAGTGATTACCAGAACTTACATGAGGCCACCTTCATGTTGGCATTTTGTTGCCATTTGCTGTTGCAAGGCTACAGTGCACAGGACATTGCAATTATCACAACATACCCCAGCCAACAACACTATCTGCAAGAAGTGAGTACAGAATGATGCTTGTCTTTTTAAACATTTCCTGCATAATTTGGCATGTCCAATGTGATGTGTCTTATTCCTTCATAGGATTACCTGCAGAGATTGGCATGGCTGATATGTTTTCTTTCTTGTTTCTTATTGTTTGCATTTGCACAGGGTTGTGAGAGATCATTGCAGATGAGAGATGTGCGTGTCTGTTTGGTTGAAGAGTTCCATGGCCAGGAGTGCAAGATAGTACTGTTATCTACAGTGCACGAGGATGTTTCAAGACCACACACTGCAGAGTATATCAGCATGATGCTGACACGTGCACAAGAGGGTTTGTATGTCATTGGCAACCTGCAGCAGCTCACAAAAAGCAGCACTGTCTGGAGTGCAGTTCAGAAATCACTGGAGAAGCATGGTGTAGTTGGGACGGAGGTGCTTCTGAGGTGTCAGGTGGGCTAACGTGATTAGAACTTATCATATTGCCTTTCATCACATGGAACTATGAAATAGCATGTATTATTTTTGTTTTATTGGAAACATTTTGTTCCTTGAAATATCAGTTTGGAGACAATGTTTGTTGCTCTGTATGCACATATGAAATGGCTACCCTGTGACTGATAATTGCTTGGTTGGTAGAATTTCTGGCCATTTATGGAATGTACAAAGTAGGTTCATGTTCACAAGAACCCATCATTGAATCGTGTTCTAAGCCAGATGAAGTCAGACCTCTCACCATTTTTCAAGACGGTTTTAATATTACGAGATTTTATGTTCTCACTGCAGTAATTATGAAAATTATCGTCATCTGGGATGCGTTGCTTAATGTGTGAGGAGTTTACTGACATCTTCAAGGAATATTCTGCCATTATCTTCAGTGTCTTTACTCTTTTATCCTGAAGATGAAGGCAATACAGTTCTCTGAAACATTTCCAGATTACAAAGTGTCATGTCCCAGAAGACAGTGATCTCCACTTTAATATTATCCTACTATCTACCCCTTCACCCAGATTATGTCTTTAAGGTTTTTTGACAAAAAATTTGTACACATTTCTCATTTCCCCTAAGTGTGCTGCAGGTCTCACCCATCTTAACCTCCTTGATTTGTCACCCTAATAATATGTGAAAAATAGCACAAAGTTATGGTTGTGGTCATTATGCAGTTTATTCCTGTGTGTTGATATTTTGTAACTTTCTGGATCCTGTTATAGTTATTATTGCAGCATTATTTCCAATATTGTCTTCAATGTACAGCTGTATGTGCTGAGCGGATGTAGAATGAAACTGCCTCTCTCCAGTATGTGGCCATTAGTGGGTTGTTATGAATATGAAGGAACAGTTATGGTCTCACCATCAGTAGCTACTTATGATCTTCATGTTAGTTCCTTGTCCACTAGTTATTTGACTATAATGCCATTGCTTAATTACAGTACTGTCCTCTTCTTTCATTTACTTCATTCCTGCACTGAACTAACTCATGAGTCACAGCAAACTATTTCTTGTCTGCTTCTGCCTGTACTGGACACTGGTTGGTTCTGCAGCCCACAGTCTCTTGTACAATGGATTTCAAGAAATTTATATTGAGATTATACTAGGCAGAGAATGAACTTCATGTGGTGTCAATGTTAAGAATGCACGAAGCTTTACTTCTGTCTCTTTTGCATCCCTTTGTTGTTTGATGCTCAGACAAACTTCACAGTTTTACCTTTAGATTAATATTCAGGTGTTGGGAGATGGGCTGCATGCTCGTGGAGTATACAGCAGATTAAAGGTTGTTCTATAGTCCATGCAGTTTTTGACCCTTAGCTGGTTACTTGCGGCTTTCTGAGGTCCATACTGGCAAAAGATGTGCTAGCATCACATATTCTGTCATGTGGCACTATCTAACCTAAGCAGCTGGTAAAACCTTGTTCATTAAACCAAAAGTCAGGAACATTTCACAGTGCCTCCCCCTTATAGGTGTGAGAGGCCTGGAATATATTGTCCTCAGATGGGTATGAACTTTTGACCTTGCACATGGTCAGATCCAGACTAATGAATCTATTCTAGTGGTAAGACATGGTGAAAGAAAGAGTTAATGTGGTTTGTGTCAATTCCAGGTGCATCAGGATAAGCTGATAGCAGTATCTAGTGTGGCTGACTTCTCACAGAACCGTGAGGGGGGTTGCATCCTTCCATGTAACCGCACACTGAAGTCTGGTGACTCATGCAAGAAGCAGTCACATGAGTGGTCAGCAGAGTGACTTGCAGCAGTGCAAGCAGCACTAGCAGAGAGAACCTTGTTGCCAACCATGCAAAAGGGAATTTGAGTCTGTGGATTGAGTTCTGTCATGTGGGCAAAAGGTTGAGCCAGGAGGTTCACAGGTTCCAGGTTCGATGCTGTGATGGAGGAGAGACATACTGGACACTGTTGCCAATTGTTTTGAATGTGCGAATACTTTTTGTCTGTTCTCAGAGCTTGCGCTCAAATTGGGTCCATATTCAGCTTTTAAGCTTCAGGTTTAGAAAATTTGTGTATTAGCACTTCCTTGGTGGATGTGAAAAACCCATCTCCTTTCTGTCAAAATTGATTCTTATGTAATTTTGATGTAGAAGCTTCTTAATTTCCAGGATATAAAAGTTATTTTATGAATATACCTATGAATCAGTTTAGGTAATGATTACAAACAGTTTGCTTTTGAAGATATTGTAATGTGTTGCCTTTGTGACACGACACAAATAAATTGCTTGGGTCTTCGGATTGGAACAGATTCTTTTCAGATTTCATTTTCCATGGAGTCTGTTTAAGAGAAAAATTAGATAGGCTCATAGCATGACCATGTTGTATTTCGAGTCCATGTGTCTGAACATTTAAACGAGATGACCGACTTTTGTCGCATGGTATGGGCTTCATGCCATTAGATACTAACCGACATTCAAATTTTTTAATTGCCTGCAATCAGCAGTAACAAAGAACTGACACAGTACCTTATGATATGGGAGTGATGCTACCACTAGTGAAAATGTGTACTGTAGCAGACCTTTAAAAATATAGAAGCCCATTTGATGTTTTCCTTTGAAGAATGCCAAAGAAACAATATGAAAATACAATTATTCTGACATTTCTTATATCAGGCCTTATTTTAGTAGTTATTTTTTTATATTTGCCCAATTTTGAATGAGTTTACCATGTGAAAATTGTCTTTAGTTTTCAGCTTGATAACAATAGCTGACTGATAACTTAAGTGAGTTCTGTAAATTCTATAATAAAGGTAATTTTTCTATAGCTTCTTATACAGCAGTATTATTTATAAAGGTTTAAAACTAGAATTAAATACTTATACAAGTTTCACAAGAGTGTAGACCTGCAGATAATTTTATTAAAGCTTCTCTTCGACATCAAGAGCATTGAATGTTATACAAATTCCGTTATCAAATTAATGAAGCAACACAGTAATTTTATTATGATTCCCGTGTGAAACAACACTGAAGGCGTCTGTAGGCCTATATTCTTATCCCTTTATAGTGGATTCAAGCTTCAACCCTCAATGAAAGTCCCCGAAAGCTTAACAAAATCACATTCTGAATTTTCAACGAAATTAAATGGGAAATCAGTACAAATGAAAAAATACGTACACACAAAAAAGTATATGGAGTATAGACTCTGTTTCGCCATATTGCTATTGATATTGATTGTGTGACACTTTCTGACATTTACACATCACTGTCATTTTGGAATATTAAATGTATGATTATTGTAGGGGGACCCAAAGAGGCCTACTTGTACATGATCATGGTGATGTGTTTACATTGTAGTTCATTTAAGGATTCTCAGAATAGCTTGAATTGAGGTATTTAGCAAAAAAGGCAGGATTATTCTATTTAGCTACCCATCTCACCTCACCACTGCGCCCACTTGGAGCGTAAGGCATCCGTGAAATGCTTCATTTCACTTCATTTTCTTAACCTTAGACAGCAGGTAGGATTCTTTGGACCGAGGATCAGCCCGACGCAAGGCCGCTACCTACACACAAACACGGAATAAACGCAGGCATCTATGCCTCGATTGGGTTTCGAACCCACATCTCAGTGTCTGAAGGGGCGAAGTCGGTTCATGCCTTACACCGCGCGACCACTTTGGCTGGGTTGTAAGATTATTAGTGAATGTTAAATTAAAAACGATATGAAAGAAAGTTGTCATGGCCTAAATCACGGAAGTTGTGGTCGGTATATACAATCTCAGCCGAAGTGCGAACCCGGTACTGCCGCTGAGCTAAACATGCTCCGTTTGAGTGCCTTGCATCATAAACGAATAGTCACCACATTGATATCTATCACCTGTCGAAGCTTGTACCTTCAGTTTCAAAGCTTAAAGGTCGCAGTGATATGAAGCAATCTGAATTCGCTGCTGAATGAAGTATTTCCATTTTATTTAGAAAGTTTCGCCTTTGATTCTCGATAGGAGTTCGACTATTCTGACTGAGATTTACTGTAATTTCTTTAAACACTTTGGAAAATTCTAGGCCAGGACTTGCTCCCTCCATATTGTCACGACTTAAGGATTGGTGTGACCATATATGGGGTACGGATTGGATGTTGCGTTTATCGACAGAACTAGGAACTACAATTAATTACAGCGCTATTGCTAATCTCCGCAATGCACAGATCCACAGCACCTGCTAACCCCTTTTCCAGCCTGCTGAATCTTCAACAGCCGTTCCATAGCAACGGCTTCAAACATTGGAGATTCTTCGGCTTCCCGTGCTCAAGTCGTTACTGTCCGGTGAATATCCCGCAACTGAACTCTTGTCAGCTGTCTATTCAACTACAGCGTCATCTCTTCTCGGCCTCCCTTGCAGAGCTCAACTGAACTGCCAAGCTTCAGCTAACTGGTTCCCAGGCTGGCAGGCATTTTACACTAACCTCCTAGTCTTCCCTTCACAGGTTGACTTTCAACTGACAATTGAACTCTCTCAGTTACAAACCAACTACGTCACTTACCTCACTCAAATGAACTGGTCAAATCAAAATCAAACTCACATTGCGGCTGATGGTCAGTCAGTCAGTCAATAAGTTTTGTTGTTGAGTCCCATCTGGGGCTCATGACCAGTTATTTATTATTGTTTTAAAGTTACGGTCTTGTCTTTGTGGGGAGCTCACCCTGACGAGAGGACGGGTCTGTCTTTTGTACATGCTGCTAGCCCTGCTAGCGCAGTCGTTCTCGGGTCCGAATCCCTTAGGACTCGCGACCATATTTACTGTCTCAGATTTGAGACTCCCCTTTTCGTCGCTTCCTTGGCACTACAGCCCCAGTGGGCCTAGGCCTGCCGCCATGAACTTCTTCGTTCACTTCGGTCTTTCTAGATCTTACACATTCGGTAGGACTCTTTGGGCGGGTGATCAGCTCGTCACAAGGCCTCTACCTGTACACAAACACAGAAAAACGCACGCCCTGAGTGGGATTCGAAACAACAATTCCGGTTTCCAAGCGAGCGAAGACAGTACATGCCTCAGACCGCTCGGCTACCATGACCGGCGACTCGCAGGGTTACGGTGGAGGTATTCGACTCTACTTCCCTCAAAGTCGAAGTCACATTGCGACTGACGGTCAGTCAGTCAGTAAGTCTTGGTGTCGAGCCCCATCTGGATCTTATTACCAGATATTCATTACTATTTGACGGTTACGGTCTTGTTTTGTGGGGCGCCCTCTCTGACGAGAGGACGGGTCTGTCTTTTGTATATGCTGCTGGCAGTCTCTCTCGGGTCTGAGTCCCTTGGATCTCGAGACCATATTTTACTCTCTCAGATTTGAGACTTCCCTTTTCGTCGCCTCCTCCGACTCGCAGGGTCACGGTTGAAGTATTCGACCCCGCCTCCACACGGGTATCCGTAAACTCCCAAGTCAAAGTTGTGCCTCCCTGAACTGGTCAAGTAAATGTCTTCAAGAAAACTCCTTGGCATGGACCACATCGAAAATACCGTTATATTGTTGCGTGTGTGTTTGTTTCCGCGGGAAGATGTTTCTCGAGCCGTTGCTCATAAAGGGGTTGTATAACCACGATGATCTATTGTTGTGTGCCTATACTTGTGTATTATGGGTGTCACCTAGCTACGGCCGCTGTTTATAGTCGGCACTTAGCGGCGGGCCTATACGCCACAATATCTATCTTCTAAATCGTCCAACAATTCGATGATACGTAACCAAGCAGTTGACAAAGCATCATTAAATAAATAACGAAATAAACATCTAAGAAGAGCTCAAATGTAATCACGTAAGGAGTTCATACAGAAAAATGTAATTATCTATTGTAACCTGCAATCAAAAACTTATCACAGTAGAGGAATTAAATAATTTCTTCTTACCCCAGAATTTTCTCCGATAGGTTGTTGTGCTGCTGACATCTTCTGATTGTAGTCTCTTTGATGGCTGATCACTGTCTCGATCAAAACAGCGGTATTAAAGTCCTGTGGCAAAACAAATTTATATTTTCCACTTGTTTTTCATTCTATGATAATGATGACGATGAATATTATTAATACTGACACCAGAGTTCTGGTATTAGGGAAATTCATATTTTCATTCTTAATCATCAAAACATTTGACCATTTGTAGTTTGAGATAGTGATGGGGTGGTTAATTAAACCACAAATAAAGAAATAAATAAAGTAGAACATATTCTGATGGCCTTAATTCTTTATAAAGCGTAGCTCGTGGAAGTAATATGTAAAAGTCGGTTCTCACCTCAAAGAAAATTCACTGCAGATCAATTACGAAGAAGTTAATTATTCTTAGTAAATAATCACTGTTTGTTCTGAGAAAAGAACAAACCCCATACATAAACTATGAGGAAGAAAAGTCGTGTTGCTTAAGGTTTAAAGCAAACCACTCTCCTCTGAGTGGGATAATGTATGCTCATCTCCAGGAAGTGTAAACAAAACAATTACAAGCAGCGGTGGGAAATGTCAGTATCACTTACTTGTGCAGGAAACAGCGACCGGTCTAAAGAAAACACACGACATGAATTAAGGGCTCCCTCGTTGCATGAGGCGAAACATTTTTCATTAGCAAAGAAACAAGTCTAAAATATATTCTCACTTCAGGCTACGTGGAGAAAATGGAATTTTCCAGCACGCTCTCACTAAGCACAGGAAAAACCGAGTTTTGTTATACAGTTAAAAATGTCGACTGATAAGCATACAAGAAGGAACACTTCGTTGGTGATTCAACTTTGTAAAAATGTGGTTTCTCTTAGAAAGAAAGAAGAAAAGAATGTTTCGTTACTCAGAAGTGGCAAGTGCGGATGGATGTTACTTAAGGTTTTTGACAAAAAAGATATTTAAATTAGTGAAAACAATTTAATGTCTTCAAAAATGTTAAAATAAATATTATTTCAGTAAACTGAATATACATTGGATAGAATTTATAAAATTTTGATTTACTTTTTCGTCTATGTTTTCTGGCAAAAATTATAGTATGATGTTAAGTATGAAATATACCTCATAAGTACATAAATAAAAATAAATAAATAAATGTATATATATTGTCTTTTTTTATTGCTAGTGGGGTGGGACTAAGTCCCTTGTACTGCGGCCACTTCTGGCGTATCGTACCAGCCCCAGATGACAGGTGAGGGTGATTGTGGAGCAGTTGGTGGAATGAAGATTGGCAGGGAAAACCGAAGTACTCGGAGAAAACCTGCTCCAGCGCCACTTTGTCCACCACAAATCCCACTTGACCAGACCGAGGCTCGAACCCTGGCCGCCGCGGTGGGAAGCCAGCGACTGACCGCTTGAGCTATGGCGCGGCCCTATATACAAGTATTGTCTTACTGAGTATGCGACGTTAGACCCCGAAAGGTCTATTTCTAAAGCCGGCAAATTTACACTATTGTGAATTATTTCCCCATCGGATAATCTCTTAGTATCTCCTAATTATCCAGCTTATTGTCATCCTTACATCTGTTTCTCGGTCTTCCAAGCTGCTGCTTTCCCGCAAAATCATTTCTATGGATATATGATATCCTCCATAGCCTCAGAGATGTCACAGACTTAACCGTAGCAGGTGATCTGCTAAGTTGTTGGTTTCTAAATTTAAAATTTTACATTTCACAGACATTTCATGCAACGAGAATCCAAACATGCATGTACATCACTACGACATTCGATACAATTTTTATCGAAATTTAAAGGTCTTAGAATTTGTATCTACACAGAGTGTATTTCAATAAGTTATTTTCCGGTGTGCAAAATATTTTGCAGCGTAAACACAAATTTTCTTAAAGATATCGGAAACA